AGTGATTCACACACCTTACTTACGGTGCCTACTGTTCGCTTGACTCAATTATCTCTATCTACAATCTATCTATATATCTTCAATCTATCTGCATATCTATCCATCACTGGTTTTATTTGCCGGGGTTATATATTAAAAAAGAGGGCGTCTGGAAAACACTCGGACATTCACGAGGTTCCTCGATAAGTCATGATCCTCTAGAAACTCCAGCGAGCATGCTCCCAGCATCGCGTGACTCCCGCTGTTGTAACAATAACATTAATGGGCAAAAAACGACCTTTTGGTCCATCTAGGCTGTTCTATCTACTGAATTCAACTAAACACCTAAACTTTCAAAGCTAACTCTTATCACTCAAATACTTATGAATCCTTCCTTGAAATCCCTTACATTAACAGCATCTACCACATCTGAAGGCTAACCATCCTGCCAGAATTTATATTTCCATCCCCTAGTCTTATCATTCTCAACATTAAATACAAAAAAGATGATGCATCAACACTATCAATTCCCTTAACAACCTAACACCTCAATCAGATCCCTTTTAGAGAACTTCTGAGAAAAAACAGTATGATTCAGCTCTCTTTAAACCATTGATGCAAACTTAGAGAACTTTTTCACTGTTTGAGAAATCAGTTGATAAGTATACTGTTTATTTAAATTAGATTTTCTAGTAACACTAAGTCAGCATAAGAGAATAAAGATCATTAAATTTCCCCCGTTTTTTTTTAACATGGTTTGCACTGCGATGAATCTTTCATTCTATAATAAAAAATTATGAAGCATTATACTGTCAGTTTTGGTTTGTGTTTTTGTGAATGCTCCTGAACAAGCTGTAATGCAAAACTTTAAATGTCTAATTAAATCAAAACAACATTTTGATGTTATAAGGTCGTTTATTTCCAGTATTATGATTTTTAAAAAACAGAGTATTTATTACAACTTCCACTACTCAAACACCATATATTCATAATTCAAAAATGCCAGGCCCAGGCTTTTACAAATGACACATCTGAACTTTATACTTCTTATTCAACAATAATAACCTTGACACAAGAATTATGAAAAGAATCTGAAAGAGAAAACCTTACTTCATAAGTACTCACAAAATCTTCTTATTAATACATCACTTATAAGTTCTAACCGCGTTTCGAACAATATCTATAGCTCCATATTTCCAAATGCGTAAAATATGAACATAATTATAATTAAAAATGAAGGAATATACCACCTCACAACACCGTAAAATATGAACATAATAATAATTACAAATGAAAGAATATACCAACTCAGAACACCGTAAAATATGGACATAATAATAATTAAAAACGAAGGAATATACCACCTCACAACACCATAAAATATGAACATAATAATTACAAATGAAGGAATATACCACCTCACAACACCTGTGCTTTGAAATTTAGTAGAGAACAATATTCAACTTAAAAGCACAACTGTAAGCTGTAAGTCTATTTCAGTGATACAAGATTTATATATTTTACAACTTGGTTACTATTTATCAAAGTTCAAGGTATATTTTGCTTTATTCATAGTTTTAAATGTACAATAAATCTGTATTTTATGAATCATTCTTGCTTTTCATGACTTCTAGTTTAACACTGTGAAAAATATTTTCTTTCTCTCTCTGTTATCAATAAAAAAATATTACATGATGTAGTGTAACAATATATATCTCTCCTGTGTAAAGGCCTAAATTAAATTATTTATTGTTCTTTTTGTTATAAACGTAGACTAATATAAATGTCTGTCTGAATTGTCGTCTCGGCTAAAATTGTTTAGAGACATATTGCACTATAGTAAATGGTGTTCATTTACATCTGTTTCTCTCATATCTTCATTAATTTTTAGAGGTCTACTACTTATCATTGATTAAGTTTTATTATGAACTGTATTAAAGGATAAGGTCCAGAGAAAAGCAGTATTTTTAATATTACAGTTTAAACATCTGTTGAGAAAGCCAAGCAGTAGTTGCATTCTGTTGGCTGTCATTTTGAATGAACTAGTTCTCTACTACAAGCATCAGATAATGACTTGTCCAGTAGTGCTTTTGATTGACTTTCAATGTTTCTTTAAACTTTTTTGGTAAACTACTGATGCTTCCTCTGGGTTTAGATACATCTATGATCTGGTGTTTGCCAGGGTGCCTTTCTAGCACCCAATCTATTTGTGTACATGTAACTTGGCTTCAAAGGGCTTAGTTTGTCAGAGGTTCTGGTTCATTGTTATAATCCATAATTTAACGTGTTCAGTATGCCTTACCAGCGATAAGGACTTTGCTCTCATTAAATTCTCCAAGTAGTGACCGGGTGAGCATTAAATCACGGTCTGCCATCTGTGAAGTTGAAGCTTGAGAACATTCATATACTAAGTATTTTCATGAAGTTTTATATTTATCACACAAACAAATAAAGAAAGGAAATGTTCCAGATATTTCATGCTTACACCAGAGTACCTTCTAGAAATGATAGTAACTTCTACTTTTATTACATAGTTGTAATAAATGTTTACAAGTGCAAAAGCATTCATAGTATTGAAACTGGCTAATCAAAGTAAAGATACAACAAGGTAAGATACAACAAATAGGAAAGCTGTTTATGTACAAGGAACAGGAAACTTCTTTTATATATATTCTTCTAATGAAATTAGTGAAAAGAAAATTCTGCCATCATTGCTGAGTTAATTTTTAAAATGTCTATTTATATCTTCAAAGAATGAAAATAAGACAAACGATAAAAAAAAGATCAAGCTATAACACAAGGAACGAAATATCATGGAAACCAAACTCTAACACAAGTGACAATATTTCAAGGAATCCATATAGAACATAAGATAATATCAGGTCGTCAAGAAATTAATCGTACATCACGTATAATAGTTAAACGAACCGCCTAAACGTCACGTCAGTGTAGCCTATGTAATGTGTA